TAATATTGATATCGAAGTGATACGTTGTAATTTAAATACTGAAGATGATGTTGACATATTTTTGCTTTATTCAAAGAAAAAAGTGCCACTAATTGGATTGTTCAAGGACAATTAAATAATCCAGTGAGGTGTGTAAAATATATAATTAAGTATATTTATAACTGCTGATATTTATTATTACCATTCTTAATATTTAGACATTCTTAGTGATATTTTGCATGGCAAATTTTAAGACGTAGAAATTACCACAGTATAATTACTTGTTAGTAATATCACTGAATATTATAAATAATAATGATTAAAATAATATAAAATTCATGTTAATACCAAATAGGACAGGTACTTAAATTATTTTACAATAATTGTATCTAAGTTCTAACTATTATCTATATACTTAAAAAAAAATTTTAATTATTTATTTTATGAAAAATTATATGTAAAAAGACTGATTTGTATTACTATGATTTCTATTACTATTACTCAAAACCCATCACTACCGCGACTATCGAATATGTGGTTATTTATATTTTTTGAATAATTTAAAACGCCCAGCGTAGGCCGTTATATAAAGTAATATAATAACTTTAGACAATATTATTTTATTATATATGTAAGTGGTTTTCACGAATGAATTAATTTAAATATTTTTCTTATAAAACACCAATAGAACTAAAAAAATGTTCGAGTCAATTTTGAAAATGCCGCCCCTACTTAAGTGCCGCTCTAGGCAGGTGCCTAGCTCGCCTATACCTTGAGCCGGCCCTGATTCCTTGGAATTTAGTTAGAAATTATCATATTTAACAGTTGCAGAAAATAAAATGGTAGACAAAATAGATTTGAATTGCCAGTTATTTATTTCGAGGTGGGTAGAACACGATTCCGTACGGTCCTTATCAGCGTACGGAATCGTACACATTTTAAAGCATACGATTCCGTATGTTTTGTACCTAAGATTTTAGTGTAATGTTGTCAGATTTCTAAATAAGTTAAAAAATTATGTAATTATAAATGTAATCTATTAATTTGTATAACACATATACGTATTATACGTCGTAGATATTATACAGTATCGGTCGACATCGACATCGTCTCAAAGTAAATCGCAATAACACTATTAGATTTGATATGGTTATTAATCATTACAAAATAGTTTATCAGTAACAAAAAGAATATATTCGTGTATGTAAGTACATTAAAACCAAAACTACTGATAATCTACAGCATACGACATAATATCTTAATAATAAATTAAGATAGGTATCAATGTTTATTTTCCCTCGTCGTCGCATGCCAGTCGATAATCACATCGTTTTGCGTATAGTGCGGTGCTTTATAAAAATATAAAAAATCGTGAACATGAAAAATTAAGTTAAATTTATAACTTCGGAAAAAGGAAAACCACTGGTATTTTTTAATTTCCATAAATATTGGCTTTTACGAACACGAAAAGATGGTTTAAAAAAATGGTTATGTATACAAAATTTGTATTATGCTAGGCATTGTGACAAATGGAAATTTAATTCATCAAACATCAAATGAATATAATCACTGTGAAAATCCAGTCCAAAGTGTCGAAAAACATGTACTGAGAGAAAACTGTAAACGCAAGGCAAGTGGATCTATTTCTATCCGACCTATTAAAATAATTCGAACAGAACTCTTAAAAAGCGTAAATTCAGAAGAAATTGAACATAGCGATATATGGTCAATCAGAAAAGCCATGTATAACAAACGACGACAAATATACCCGGCTTTTTCAAAATCTTTAATTGAATCAATTGAACAACTCAAAAGTATGCACAATAATGATGTACTTAAATTTAAAGGTGAACAATTTATTTTTGTACCCGATAACAAATTATTTGTTTGTATAACTATAGAACAAAATCTAAGATGTATGATTAATTCATCAGATTTTTTTGCCGATGGTACTTTTAATTACGCGCCAAAACATTATATTCAGCTCTATACAATTAATTGTTTACAAAATGGATTTTATATACCCGTGGTTTATTTTTTCTTGCCTCATAAATCTAAACAAACGTACATTGACATGTGGTTATTTCTTCAAGAATTAAGAGAAAAATTAATTTTCAAAAGACTTGTTATTCAAAAGTTACATTTAGACTTTGAGATAAGGGCTCATGAAGCATGTAGAGAGGTGTTCCCAAATGTAGAAATTCAAGCATGTCGATTTCATTTAGGGCAGTGTTGATGGCGAAAAGTAAATATGCTTAAAATGTATTATTTCTTTATAGAATGGTAATATTTAACGTTACAAATTATTAACTTTACAGATAAATTCTGAACAGCGACTCCGAACAGCATATACAAATTACGACGAGTTAGAAAAATGGTTAAAGCTGTTTTTCGGGTTGCCATTTCTATCACCACATGAAATCGAAAATGCATTCATTGAACTTGTATCTATATGTCCTAACCTAGATATAGGATTTTTATTTTCTGATTATATATTGAAAACATACGTAGAAGATCACTGTTTATTTCCACCGAAAATTTGGGTTCAAGAGCCATCGGAAAATCCTCGGTATGTATAATAATATATAACTATATATGACTTTCTTGGAAAATTTTTTCTTATTATTAAATAATTATAATTATTAAGAAACATACTTGCTTTAAGTGTATATAAACATACATAAAGTATTTTAAACTAGAATAAAAGATAAAAAATATACAGATAGATCGTATCGCCAATTTGTTCATAACCATCACGATTAATTTTTGTGCGCGTGGCCTAAAAATAAATTCTAACATGATCGACTCTGTAATCGTCTGCGATATACCGGTCGAACAGTTTTATCATATAACTACATAAATCTTATATAAACGTTTTGTTTTCATTTATTTATTTATTTTACTATATATTTTAAAGTACAACAAATGGATCTGAGAGTTTCCATAGAACATATAATGCCCAGTTTCATAGTCCACACCCTTCAGTTCATTTGGTTATAGCACTTCTAAAGGAAACACAAGAAGAGACTTGCACGAAAATAAGAGCTGTGTCTAAAGGACGTTTGAATTAAATGGCCTAAGCCGACAAACAGCGATTACATTACGCAATAACCGAACATAACAAATTTTTAAATCATAGAAATATAATAAAATATTTATCAAGTATTTGTATTAATTACCAAGGTATCAAATTATAATTATTAAACCATTTACAAATTATATATTTTAAATGTTTATATTTTTTTATTTTTAAATGACAAAAATTAATTGATAATAATAAATGAAAAAAATTGAAAATAATAAATGGCAACGTTGCATGGAAAATCGTACGGAATCGTGTTGTTTTTGGGATCATTTTATAATCCATTGTTTGTTAGAAATCCTACGGAATCGTGTTCCCAAAAAGGTAAAACGTACGGAATCGTGCTTTACCGTTCGAGGTCACCAATCACTAAAATCGATTAAAAGTGTAATCTGTGTGACTGCAAATCTTACATCCTGGTTTTTTGTTTACATTAATAGTAAAATAATTATGTATTTGTTTAAATGCGTTTTAATGTCAACAATTTTACTGTTTCTGATTATGATAATAATATTTCCGAAATATTCTCTATTTAGATGGAAGTACAGTTGAACGAAATTTATTTAAAGAATAAACATACAATTATAATAATGCGAATCGAATAAATAAATAAAAATTTGTTGTGCACGTCAAGTTGTACCAAAAACAGTCAATATAATATACTATCTTGTGTTAAATTTAAAAATTTAGATTTTAATACATTTTTAATTATATAGACTTAGTAATTACCGAAATTGAATGAAAAATAAATATTAAAATGATATTCAGACAACGCAAATTAAATATTTAAAACTAATTTATATAAGTTATTTAACGCCTCAAAAATTAATTCTAAACAAATAAAAACTTCTTCATCATATCCTAAAAGTACCAAAAATAAAAAGGGACGATCATTTTTTTAATGCCTATGTAGCCGTATGATCATAAAAAGATAATTATGCTTCTTATGAAACTAGAAACGTGAAGAATAAGTGAAACATACGAATGTACCTACTCGTATTTTTTTCGAAATGGCTAAATTTTTAATTAAGCATTAAATATATTGTACATAGTTTTATCATAAATACAAAACATTAGATTAAAAAATTTAAATTTTATGAGTATAATTTCTAGAAATTTATAATTTTGATATCTAAAAAACACAATGTAATGATTTAAATCGTAAATATCTGTGGATATACCTTAATTATGATTTATGTATAATATGTTATTTTAATTCTATATTAACTAAAATGAAAAGGGTTCTTAGTAGAGGTTTTTTTTAACAATTATTTAAATATTTATTATTATCTGTAAAAAAATACTTCCTGTATGATAAATGATAAATTAACAACGACTAGTTTGTCTTTTAAAATCATATCGATAAAATTCGATACAGTAGTAATAATATAACGACCTCGACATTATCCAACAATGCTGATTGCCCCCGTCTGTACATTTCTTTAGGTTACCCATAGTGTTAGGAAGCATTATAATAAATAATGGGATTCATTCATTAATTTGTTCACATTTTTCGTGGCAGCAGTAAATTGCAAGTTTGACTGTGGAATATTCGCTGATTACAAGTAAGTTAAAGAATAAAACACAATAATACGCAATTATAACAATTTTTAAGTAATTTACTTTGTGTTCGGTTTTTATTTTATTTTATACATATTTAAAAAAACAAAATTTTAGAAATTGTTAGTGAATGATTAGAGTGAAAATCTTTCAACGATATGGAAATAATCAAATAACATATTCAAAAAATAGTCTGTGTTAAAATTAGTTTATAATACATCAATATGATTATAAATGTTGACTTATAATCTTATATAAGTAGGGCTAGGATTTTTATACTCTAAATAGAAACATGCGTAAACCGGCTTTCGACAATACATTATACTTCAATCGTCCTCAATTTTTTTTGCTTCTATTGATGTTGCTGCAGGTAATCTAAAGGGATGGCGGCTGCAGGGACGTTGGCGATAATACTCTTCCAGGGCTACTGCTCGTATGCCGTAGGGCTGTTAGACAATGGACGACTAAAGGAGATGTTCGGCTGGAAACTGCTAGACTTTCAATTTCCGGACCTGAACACCAAACACCGGCCATCGAAAGCGGCGCGTACGTGCAGGCAAACAACATGCCGGTGGGTTTGGACGTGTGGAACGACAAGCTGTTCATCACAGTGCCACGGTGGAAGACCGGCGTGTGGTCGACGCTCAACTACGTGTCCCTTGGAAAGACCAACGGTAGGATTGCCATGACCGATGTGATGATTATGATGCACATAAACGTCGGTCGATTTAACCGCGGCACATTTAATTGTCGTAATATTTTTGGCATATAGGATGCATCCGGGTCGGGTTCCTAAATTAAAACCACTATGCTAGTCGGGTCCCGAATTTTGGTCGGTACTACACTAAAATTGGGTCTCGGATTACTTTAGATACCTACTAAATACTACATTAACCCAGCGGTTTTTCGATGGGTACTACACTACATTAATATTTTCATTCGCGTTTTAACAGTTTTACCGCTGCTCATGAATATATTTTGACCACAATGGGGCTTAAAATGTTTTCTTTTCACTGACACCAATAGTTATTGATTCTATCTGTTATAGTTATGGGAGAGATCATTTAGTAGGTAGCGGTTAGCGAACAAATATCTGGGATGTAACTAGTGCGATACTCAATGTAATCCAAATAGTGTAGCGCTCTTAATTAATCCCCGACGTTCGGGACGCACCTATTTCCACACGCAGATCAATAATATGCGAATTTCTTTGAAAATGAATAACAATATTGTTTAACTGCAGTGCTCGTTTTCCCGACCGTTTCGTTCAAACTGATAAGAAACCCCCGCGGGAATCGGGCGCACACCTCTTCCCAATGTCTTCTCAGTGTAATATTCGAATAAAAGTAAAGCAAATATATCACGCACACATGTGATAAGTTTGCTCTCGGTGCGAGACAGGAAATGTTGGCCCAATAGCCCTGGACCATCATCTCCCCCGGTGAATACGCCACAGTTCCCGTCGATTTTCAGAACCGGCGGACCCGTCACCGGAGCTGATACCATATCCGAGCTACAAGCAGAACTGTTTGGGGTCAGCGTCGGCTGATCGGATGGTGTCCGTGTTCCGCGTGAGCGTGGACGCGTGCGACCGGTTGTGGGCGGTGGACACGGGCGTGGAAGACGCGTGGGGCCGGGCCGATCAGCTGCAGGCGCCTAAGCTAATGGTGTTCGACCTGCGCACGGACACGCTGATCAGGCAACACACGTTTGGGGCGGGCGACGTGAAGCCCGACTCGTTCTTGGCCAACGTTGTGGCGGACGCGAGCCCGGACGCGTGCGGCGACGCGCACGCGTACGTGCCGGACCTCGGCGGCAGCGGGCTGCTGGTGTACAGCCTCGCGACCGACGCGTCATGGCGAGTCGAGCACCACTATTTCCACTTCGACCCGCTGGCCGGCAACTACCGCGTGGCCGGCCACGAGTTCCAGTGGACCGATGGCGTGGTGGGCGTGGCGCTGTCGCCGCGCGCCCCGGATGGCTCGCGTACGCTGTACTTCCACCCGCTGTCCAGCACCACGGAGTTCGCGGTGTCCACGCGCGTCCTGCAGAACGCCACCGCAGCGTCGGACAGCTACCATGCGTACAGGGCGCTGGGCACGCGCGGACCCGGCACGCAGGCCAGCGGGTCGGCGCTGGACGAGGGCACCGGAGTGCTGTTTTACACGCAGGTCAACCGGGATGGAGTGGGCTGCTGGAACTCGGTGACCGATGCGGACGATTACTCGCCGGACACCAACACGCTGGTGGCGCAAGACCGACGGACACTCGAGTTCCCCAACGACGTCAAGGTCGATCGCGCGGCAACGCTTTGGGTGCTCTCCGACCGGCTGTCCACGTTCCTGTATGACGGTCTCGACCCCAACGACGTCAACTTCAGGGTATTCAGCGCG